GAAGCTTTCTAGTTTTAATTAATTTATTTATAAATGTATTGATTCAGTAACGACAGAACATCTATAATTTCAAATTTATTTATTATAGTAAATCAATAAAAAGATGTTAAGTTTAGATATTTTCTAATGTATAAGCTTTTTCGGGGAAAAATTAATAGTTAAACAATTTTTTTTTTCATTTGAAATGTTTTATAAAACTTTATGCTATAATTTTTTGTTTTCTAAACACACGTCATATTTCATATCCATATTATTTTATCAAATTAAATATTTAGAAAATAAAAAAATAGTAAAAATGTTATAGTTTCCATTTGCAAAGTTAATAACTTAGAATAAATTGTAAAAAAACAATAAAGTTATAAAATTTAAAAAGTAAGAGATTAGGGGAAGCAAGTAAATATATAATTAAGTTATAAATTTTAGACAAAATCTAATAAATGTTTATGGTTTACCAGAGGTTATAAGTTCTAAATGTTTTCTAACATCATCATGTTTTTAAAATTTGTATGATCTGTCCATAACCCAAATAAAATGACTTTTTATGTTTTTAATTTAGTTTATGTTTTTTTTAATTAATCTTATTTTAAAATAGAGAAAAGGGTAAATTACACGAATGGTCCCTATCGTTTGGGGTAATCTGCGTGATTGGTCCCTAGAAAGAATTTTTAACTGAGACCATCCCTATTATATGTTTTTATCATGCGTTTCGTCCCTATTAAACATAAAAAGACAATCTTACCCTTTCAATTTAACATTCAGTTTTTTATTTTTTAGTTTTTATTTAGAAAAGATATTTATTAAAACATTTCATATTGGTAATCTGCACCTTGCATCCCATATCTTCACCTCCTCACTATCGAGTCTGCTTTCCTGACCCTCCTCACCGACGACTTGAACTCCTCCCTCCCATATCTTCAATGGCGAGTTGCATATGATTCCTATCCCTCTGCACCTCTCACTGCATCAGTGATGAAACCCTAAAATAACCCCTTTGTGACCTAAATATCAGTGCAAGCTTGCGATTCACCACGATGATGTTGTCGCCTGCCCCATCGTCAACGTCAAGCAGCGTCCACCAACCACTATAGTCCAACGATCGTCCGCCGACCTCTCTCTACTCCATCGGTGTACTTTGCCCCTCTCTATTTCGCCAGTGAACAAACATTGATGGTTAATTTGCAATATACGAGTATTGATTACTAGTTGTTCGATGATCTTGCTATTTACAAATCGATTGTCAATGTTTGTGTGCTAATCTGGTTTTAGGTTCTTCGGATAAGTTCCCTTTAGTTGCAAAATCAGCTTTGCCTATGTTTTATCTTCGTTAAAAATGAAGCTTTGGTGTGGTATCTGGTTTTCAAAGATCACATATTCTTGGCTGCCAAAAACGACCTCAACAAGTATGCAATATGGCGAATTTGGGGTAAATGTAATGAATTTCTAGGTGGATTTCTGCAAATTAGAATTTGGTGGTGGGTGGAGCAAATACTGTTGAATCAGAAATCTGGTAGATGATAATATGTTTTATAGGGTTGCAAATTTGGGTTTTGTGTGTGGGAACTAGAAATCGGAAAGGGGTTGTATATGAATCAGGAATCAAAACCACTGTGTAGCTTTATATGGTATCTGAATTTTGTTTTGTTGTTTAATTTTTTTAGCGGGAACTCATGTATGATTGTTAAATAGGAGCTTGTGGGTGTTTGCTGGAGTGATTACAAGGTGCAAGGGCAAAAACTTTCGATCTCAATGAAAGAAAAACATAAATTTATGGTTTCAATTTTTTCAGAGAGGGTCGCTATAAGTTGTGTAGTGGTGGTGGAGGAGACCTGCGGTGATGGTAGGGGAGGATACTGACGGCGGTGGTAGTGTTGCAGGTGTCGGCGATAACCATGTAGGGTGACTATTGAGACGGTGGGACCATGTTCTCATTTTATTAAGCGAAATTAAATATCTTCCTAATTTTGTTCCTACATCCTACCAAATTAAATGATAACATGTGTCATATTAGTATATTAAAGTATCATTAAATGAACATTAAATATTACACATGTCACTATTTAATTGGGTAGGATGATTTGTAGGAATAAAAAGTCGGAGGATATTTAATTTCTCTTTTATTAATGTTTTTCAAATTTAATTTAATAATAAAATTTTATTAAAGATATAAGGAAGGGTAATGTGGTCATTTCAAGTTAACAAGGGACTAAATACGAAACAAAAACAAATTGTAGGGATGATCCGAGTTAAAAATTCTTTCTAGGGACCAACCACACAAATTACCCCAAACCACATGGACCATTTGTGTAATTTAAATTCCAACTCCTCCTCTCATTTTCATCGACACACCTCTTCTTCATTTTCGACATCTGCAGTCATTTCCATCTCCACCACTACATCTCCATCTGACCATCTCCGTTGCCCTACATCTTCACCGCTACCACCCGCCAACTCTCTTTTGATGAAACCCCTTCCAACCTACCCCTACGTTTAGTTCCTTAGCCATTCATGATGAAACCCCAAACCACCCCTACTCCTTCCAACCTAAACCTACTTCACCTCTATCGTTCTCACAGCCTCCACCGGTGTAAGTAGAGGCCTTAGTGACCACCATTTTCTCTCCATTGATTTTCTCATACACTTGACTTCACCCCGTCGGAGAACTTCAATGGAAAAACAGAACCACGACCATTAGGGTTTCAATTAATAGAAAAATTCACTTACATCTTCACCATGGTTTTCTCTCTCCATCTCTTGTTTCGTTTGGTTTACTACAAGAAAATTCCTTTTTAGTGACCAAGTTTTTAGTGACAACCGGAAATCTGGTCACTAGCAACATTCTTTAGTCAGCAAATATTAAGTGCTCACTGAATTTTGGTAGTGGTATACGTTTAGTGACCAAATCTGAGAGTGTTATCACTAAGTGGTCACTAAAAGTCATTATTGTTGTTTAATTTTATAACAAGTATTAGTGACTAAAATCAGTGGTCACTGATTTGACTTTTAATGACCAAATATAGTTGTCACTATATTGGAGACTTAGGTAGTGTTTGTTTTTTGTCTGTAGATCTGCGTGACCTCTTCTGTCTGCGCCGCACAGACCACGCGCAGACATTAGCCTTCGCAGACTGTTTGTTTTTTTGAAGACTACAGACCTAAAAATGTCTGCGCGCCCTCTTCTTGGCGCAGATGTGGACCAGTGTCTTCTAACATCTTCAGACATCTTCTAGCCTAAAAAAACATATATATCTTTATTTTTTTAAGTTTTTTTTTAATTTATATTTTTTCCACCTTTATTAATGATAAATAATTTGAAAAAAAATTACAAAACTTAAAAAAAACGTTCAACGATACAAACATGATATTTTTGACAAATTTATAAATAAAAATTTATTACAATAATAGTCGTTGAAGTTGTTTATATAAATATGAAAAAAAATCATAATATATTCTTATATTTTTTTGCCAAATTTTGTAAAACATTATTTAATACAGTATCGTTAATTTCTCGAGAAAAAAAATTTTATGGTACCGTTTTAATGGATTTAATTGAAAAAATTGAAGTTTATTTCCATCAATTTATGTATCAAATTCTTTGATCACTAATTATAATGTTTAGTTATAACTTTGCAACCAAAGTTGTTGGTTTTTTCAAATATATACGTTAATTCATACCATTTTTATTTTTATTTTTTATACAATAATACATAAAACTTGACTAGATTCGTTAATTATTTATAACAAAGTCATAAAAATATTAAAAAATCACTTTGAAGTTTAAAAAAAATCAGTTTATTTAGATTTCAGTTTATTTTAGTAGCCCGCAGATGTTAAAAAAACAAACAGTCTTCTTTTTTCAGACTGCAGACGTTTGGTCCACCTCTTCTACTGAAGAGGTCTACAGATTTGGTCCGCAGACTGCAGACATTTTGCCTCAGAAAAAACAAACAACACCTTAGTGACCAAAAATAGTGGTCATTAAGCGCTATTCGATTTTCAAACCCACACATTGTGACGACATAATAGTAGCCACTGTGTGGAAAGAGTTTAGTGACCAGAAAATAGTTTTCACCGGCACCGTAAAAAAACTAATTGATTTAATTTCTTTTTTATTTAGGAAAACAATATGAATTTATGTTTTTTACCAAAATTTTTCTAAACAAATATAAGAAAAAAATATATAATATATATATATATATTTTTTTGTTATACAAAGAACTATTACTTTTAATTTGTCTCACGTATTGAATTCTTTTTTATTACGATAGCTTCCAACTTAAATACTTAATAAAATTACTTAGTTTAAAAATGTTTTTAATTAAATTACTTAGGTTAAAAATGAAAACCGAAGAAGCAGACATACATTTGTACAGATCATGATTTTAAGTATATACTAAAATACATCAATTATTCTTGTCAATATATACATACTAGTATACTACATATGTATGAATTGGGAAAAAATGATAATTATAACATAATGGTCATAAAATATAACAAAATCATTGGGGCTGATTGGTCAAACTTCATAAAATCATTGTCGACTATCACGACTAAGAAATGGAAATATATAAAGGAACAAATTGATATAATAAAGTTTAAAAAGTGTGGTCAAATAGGTGAAACTAAAGTCATTGGGGAAAAACTTCAAAACATAAAATGTTTTTGGGCCAATTGTGCAGTAATAAAAAATAATAAGGGGTGTTTGGTTTGTCTTTTTGAGAGACAAAAGTCTTTTTTGAAAAAGATAGATGTTTGATAAAAACATTTTAAAACTTACTTTTGCATTTTAGATAGAAGAAAACTGACTTTTTAGACCTTACTTTTTTTTAACTTCTGCAAAAAGGATTTTTGCGTCTAAAAAATTAAGACAAACACCCCTAAGTGCGGGGAAGGGGGGGGGGGGGGGGGGGGAAACAAACCAATACCGGCGTTGTCGATAACCTACCGAGCGGAAACCCTTCGCCACCTGATGTTCAGTGTTTACTTTCTCTGACACAGTAATGATGGCGGAAGTAGTACACTACAAGCTCCATCACATAGTCAATGAGCGCCATGGCTTATTCTCTCGCCGTGGAATTGCCGATATGGTCAAATACCGCCGGAAGTCCCCTGAAACATGATTGCTTAGCGTACATCGACTACGAGAAATCTCTCGATCTGCTCCTTCTCCTCCGTAAGAATGGGATGAACCTGAGAGATCTTCAACAACTTTGAACATGTAAGAACATCTCTTACTCCTTTTATTTGAAGCTCTAACACATCAAACGTCCTTTATTTGGAATACTCCTGCCGATTTGAATTATTTGTGAAATTGAAAGAGTTTTAAATATTCTACATCTATTTTTTAATCTTGCATGTGGTGTTTCTTTCCTCTTTCGGGTTTCGTATTCATCTACTGCCTTAGACCTATCTTTTCGGCATCTAGGGATTACAGTTCATCTTCTCCTCCTATCCAATAGAATTTGCACTACAGTTGTTCGATGAAATGCTTACATGAACTGGGAGTGCATTTCTACTGTAGGTTTGCATCTCGTTGGACTTATTGCACATATAGTTCGCCACTTCAAGTTGCTTCCTAAAGTGTCCTAAAGGATTGGTTGTACCTGAGTATATCTATCTCCTTTTGTTCATAATCGGTGATCTCATTTTTCTGAAAACTGTGGATTCCAAGGGTTGTATTAACCTCTTGTTGCAACTCCTCCATAAGCATACCATTACCATTACATTCTTCAGGTTTTCTCAGACACATATCAATATTTTTTTTGTGAATGAATTGATGTAGATCTTTGAGATAAGGCCTCTTTTGTCGCTGTCAGGTCAGCATTGAGTTTGGCATTTTGGTAGGAAAGTTTTGTTACTTCTGCAGCTAAGATTATGAGCTCAATGGCTGCAACTGCAGTCAGCTTATTTGAATATGAACCTTCATATGCTAACCTTCTTAATTCCCTGTTACAGATTGGTGAAAATTTGGGAACTTTGATAAGAGCATTTAAAGCCTCCTTCTTGCCTTTCTTTGATGAGATGTCCTCATATTTGATGCCTATATGGGTAAGTTCTTTTTGCTGAACTTTTTTTTTTCACTTATTCACGTTCTATTTTTAAATATATAATCATGACTCCCACTTTTCTTAACATAAGGGCAAGGACAAAACAACTGAAGAAAGAAGGATTGTGATAAGAATGAAAATACTAGTTTGTACAGATAAGTAGATTCAACAAGAAAATAGTAACCAAGAAGCAAATCTCTTCATTCAAATGGATAAACAAAGACATTCAAAGAAGAATCATAATGATTTTCTCTGCCCAAGCATTAATCATAAGGTCAACACACCACAATTGTCCCCTGTGTCTCTTTTGTGTCTCCTTGGGCTTGAAGGCTGTAGGTTGGACCCGATGTTATTTTCATGCGGTCGAACAGTGTCGTGAACCAACCCTGAAGTATAAAAAATCATCCATTTTTGTACTTGATCATGTTTATTAATCTATCTTTTTTTAATATAACTTCTTTTATATGTGAACAGGTATTATGATACATATCTTCCTTTCCTTCTACAAGATTGCATCGATGAGAATCCAGATGTCCACCAGGTCAGCATGATTATCAATTACTGATCCAGATTTTGCGTTTTCTTATAAACTAATCATATAACCATTTTTTCAGGCAGCTGTATATGGGCTTGGAGTGTGAAGAGTCAGTGGCGAATCTAGAATAGAATAACACGTGGTTCCTAATTAAATGAAGGCGGAAAAACCAAAGAGTCAACGC